CCCCACCACAGAGAATGACTAGTGGGTGGAGACCAGGGATGCTGCTAGACACCCTACAGTGCACAGGATGGTCCCAGCACAGAGAATGACTAGTGAGTGGAGACGTTCAAGCACTCGGCTGCTAACCAAAATGTCCGCTGTTCAAACTCACCAGCAGCAACATGGGAGAAAGGTCTGATGATCTGCTCCCGTAAAGACTGTAGTTGTTGTTGTTAGCTTCTGTCAAGTCAGTTCTGACTCACAGCGACCCTGTGTACAACAGAATGACACACTGCCCGGTCTTGCACCCTCCTCCCAATCCTTGTCATGTTTGAGCCCATTGTTGCAGCCGCTGTGTCAGTCCATTTCATTGAGAGTCTCCGTCTTTTTCACTGACCCATAAAGATTACAGCCTTGGAAACTCTATGGGGCAGTTCTGCTCTGTCCCACAGGGTCTCTATGAGTCAGAATCGACTCAACGGCAACAGGTAGTGTGGTAAAATACGCACAACATAAAATCTGTCCTTTTAAACATTTTCAAGTGTACAGTTCAGTGGCATTGAGTACCTTCACAGTGTTGTGCAACCATCACCTCTATTTAGTTCCAGAACATTCATTCTCATTTCCAAAAAAGGAAACCCTGAATCCATTAGCAGTCACTGCCCATTTCCCCACCAAGCCCTGCTGTTGTTGTGTCGTCGAGTCAACTCCAGTTGTTGGAGTAGAACTGCCCCATAGCGTTTTCTAGGCTGTAAGTTTTAAGGGAGCAGATCGCCAGGTCTTTCTACCACTGAGCTTTCAGTTAGCAACCAAGTGCTTAACCGTTGAGGCACCAGGGCTCCTTTACCAAGGTCTAAAAAAACCCATAGCCATCGAGTTGATTCTGACTCATAGGGACCCTATAGGACAGAGTAGAACTGCCCCATAGGGTTTCCAAGGAGCGCCTGACGGATTTGAACCACCAACGTTTCGGTAGCAGCCATGGCTCTTAACCGCTACACCACTCGGGTTTCCTTACCAAGCTCTAGGCAACCACTAATCTACTCTCTGGCTCTACGGATTTCCGTATTCTGTGTATGTCATATAAATGGGATCATACAGTATTTGTTCTCCTGTGTTTGACTTATTTCACTCAGCACAATTTTTCAAGGTTCATCCATGCCGTAGCATGCATCAGAACTTCATTTCTCTTTATGGCTGAAAAAAGTTCCATTGCATGGATGGCCTGCATTGTGTGTTAAATTCCTCCCCTGTGTGCCTGATCTCAAAGATCAATCAACTGGTACAAAATCAGCCAGCATCCCTGGAATTGCTGAGTCACAAGGGAAGGGAAGCTGAATGACCACGTTCAGATAAAGGCAGTCACCAGATTACCAATGTCCAATTTACATACAATCCATAGTTAGCAACCAACCCCCTTAAAACCTATTATAATAAAAATTCAAGGTACATACAATGATTCATAACAACAAACGAGTGCTACTTTGCGAAGCATATCAAAACGTTATCATTATTGTGTTACTATGTTAAAGACGTTTTAGTGTATCTGGAAGTGTTTCTTCAATGTTTTTTAGGCATAGAAAGGTACACTCTATACTATGTACTAAGACAAACATTTGACTAACTGACGTTAGATACAAACTGTCTCTAACTGTTCTGACTTAGGTACAAATTCGACTTAAAGACAGATTTAGGAACGGAAGTCGTTCGTAATCCAGAAACTGTCCGTGTAGACTTCCGCGAGCCATACCGATCAGTCCAGTGCGGTAGCCCCGATGTTGCAGCAGCTTGGCAAAAGTTGTTTTCGTTGGTGGGCAGTCCATCTGATCCGCCGAGCCAGGGGAGGGTGCGGTTCAGGTTAAAGGGAGAGGCCATTCCTAAATTCACAGTGTATTTTCCACCAAATCATTTGTGTCCAATAACTCTATACGTATATAAGCTGTTGCCGGGTTTTTTGGTTTAAATCTTTATGGAAGCAGATCGCCAGGTCTTTCTTCCGTGGTGCCCCTGGGTGAGTTGTAGACGCCAAACTTTAGGTTACCAAAACACCAAAAACCAAATCCTTTGCCATCGAGTCTATTCCGACTCATAGCGACCCTACAGGACAGAGTAGAGCTGCCCAACAGTGTTTCCAAGGAGCAGCTGATGGATTGAACTGCCGACCTCTCAGTTAGCAGCCGTAGCTCTTAACCATGGCGCCACCAGTTTAGTACAAACCTTTCGTGCCACCTAGAGGCCTTAAGGGAATGTGTACCAACTCTGATTTTCTGTTTTCTTAGCCACACTTCCTCCTCAACTGCTCCTTCTTGTTTTCTAACCTAACCCCAGAAGCCAGTTAGCCCTTCTTTTCTGAGTAAAGCTACTATATGGCCTCTGCTATCCGGGATATTGCTTCCCAGACCCGAAATTGATCTCTCTATGCACACACACACACAAAAACCAAACCCATTGCCGTCGAGTCAATTCTGACTCATAGTGACCCTACAGGACGGAGTAGAACTGCCTCATAGAGTTTCCAAGGAGCGCTTGGTGGATTTGAACTGCCAGCTTTTTGGTTAGCAGCTGTAGCTGTTAACCTCTACGCCACCAGGGTTTCCTCTGTGCACACAGGTGAGTGGGTATCATGATACCTGAAGAGACGCATACCTGTTTAAGCACTCCAGGTATATAGCAGCACCCCCACTTGAATCTGAATTACAATATGGTAAGACCTGCGAAAGCCGGAACCTGCTTAAGGCAGAAACCTGTCAGAGAAGGAACGCTCAACTATCTTCCACTAAATAGAGAGCAATAGAAAAATGGTAAGGCTGCACCTTGTCAAAGAGAGCAAACTTGTGAGACCCAGAAAAACAAGGCGGTCCCGTCGAGTTCCGGCTCTCACGGGGATCACCGTACCTTCAACAACCTTTTGAGAGTTCTTACGAAGAGTTGCAAAAAACAACCCCTGGAAAGCATTTTTGTCAGACAGGAATGCTGCTGTATGACTCCCACCCCACCTGATCGGATGGGGTACCAGCCCGTCGGGAAGGCTGCTCTGCTGGGGCTGCACACGGACGCGGCCGCTAGGTGCTGGGTGAGCCTCACTCCTTCGATCGCTAGGTGGTCGATGTTAGGTGTGCTGCGGGAAGAAGGGACATGGAGCAGGGGAGGTTCTAATTCCCCACAAAATGAATTAGATTCAAAGCCCCCCTGTCTTGGGCCAAAGTGCCTCTGGGGCTCAGAGATCTAAAACACATCCTTTTCAAACGTCAATCCTTCTACCTAACCCAAAAAACCCCAAACCTGTGGCCGTCAAGTCAATTCCAACTCTCAGCGACCCTGTAGGACAAAGCAGAACTGCCTCAATAGGGTTTCCAACGAGTAGCTGGTGGATTCAAATTGCCAGCATTTTGGTTAAGGGCTGCAGGTCTTAACCACTGCGCCACCAGGGCTCCAAACAGTGAGTGTCCCTGGATGGGCTATTACAGACTAATTCAGGCCACCAATGAGAAAACCGAAAAAATCAAATCCACTGCCGTCCAGTCAATTCCAACTCACAGCGACCCCATAGGGTTTCCAAGGCTGTAAATCTCTATGGAAGCAGAGTGCCACATCTTTCTCCTGCAGAGCTGCTGGTGGTTTCAAACCACCAACTTTTCAGTTAGCAGTGGATCGCCTTAACCACGCCACGAGCGCTCCTCACCAGTGAGAAAATATTACTAAACAAAAATAAAACCAAAACCAATTGCCCTCAGGTGGATTCCAACTCGTGACAACCCCCATGTGTGTCAGAGTAGAACTGCACTCCACAGGGTTTCCAATGGCTGGTTTTTTGGAAGTAGATGGCCAGGCCTTTCTTTTGAAGCGCCTCTGGGTGGGTTTGAACTGCCAACCTTTAGGTTAGTAGTGGAGTGAAAATCATTTGTTCTGCCCAGGAACCTCTGTGACCTGCTGTCTAAATTCAAACTAAGTGCTGGGGATTGAATTGTGTCGCCATCAAAAATATGTGTTGGGATCCTAACCTCTATACTTATGAATGTAATCCTGGGAATAGGGTTTTCTTTGTTATGTTAATGAGGCCAAGTCAGTGTAGGATGTGTACTAAACCTAGTCATTTCTGTATTATAAGAAGAGCAGGTAAGACACACAGAAGCAAGCACAAAACAGGGGAAGATACGCGCCATGTGAAGATTGACAAGGAACCAAGGAACACCAGGGTCACAGAAGCTGAAAGACACAAGGACCTTCCCACAGAGCCAACAGAGAAACAGCCTTCCCCTAGAGCCGGTGCCCTGAACTCAGATTTCTAGCCTCCTGAACTGTGAGACAGTAAACGTATGTTCTTTAAAGCCACCCACTTTGGTACAGGCAGCCCCCGGGTTGCAGACGTCTGACTTACGGACAGCTCATGCTTGCCCTTCGATGTTATGTAAATTTGCCCTCACTTTGACAGGATGACAACAAATGCTGCAACAAAATCACCTTCACTTGCTGCACGTGCAGCTTTTAAATCATCAAAAAGACTCTGAGCCTTTTCTTGCACTAACAACAACAAAAAAACATGTTTTGAGTCAATTCCGAATTACAGTGACCCTATAGGGCAGTGTAGAATTGCCCATAAGGTTTCTAAGGGGCACCTGATGGATTCAGACTGCCAACCTTTTGGTTAGTAGCCAATCTTTTAACCATCACACCACCAGGGTTTCCGTCTTGCACTAAAGTAAGGCTAAATAAGAACCTTATGCACCTGTTCTGACTTACCTTCAAATTCGACTTAAAGACACACTGAGGAATGGACCTCGTTTGTAACCTGGGGGCTGCCTGTATTTCTGTTACAGCAGCAGTAACAGACTAACACACTAAGAAACACCATATACTGTCACGTGAGCAGAGTTTGTTTGGTGATGGCATAGGAGGGGGGTAGGAGGATAAAGGGGGATCCTGGTACCAGAGGCACTAGAAAGAATTCAATGAAGACATTTAGAAACTCTAGACTCATGTGGTCCATCCGTACATGGAATAATAATCCACCATAAAGAGAGATGGAGTCCTGATACATTCAGTGACATGGATGATCCTTGAAAACATCATAGTAAGTCAAAGAGGCTAGATACAAAAGGCCATATACTGTATGAGTCCGTTTGTTACAGATTGAATTGTGTCCCTCAAAAATATGTGTTGTAAATCCTAACCCCTATACCTGTGGTTATAATCCCATTTGGGAATGGGTTTACTTTGTTATGTTAATGAGACAGTATTAGTGTAGGCTGTGTCTTAAGTCAATGTCTTTTGAGATCTAAAAGAGATTAAACAACAAGCAAGTAAGCAGAGATGGGGGAAGAGAGATGCCAAGCCACATGAAGATCACCCAGGAGCCAAGGAACAGAAGCTGAAAGAGACAAGGACCTTCCCCCGGAGCCAACAGAGAAAGAGCCTTCCCCTAGACTTGGAGCCCTGAATTCAGACTTCTAGCCTCCTAAATTGTGAGAAAATAAATAAATAAATTTCTGCTTGTTAAAGCCACTCACTTTTGGTATTTCTGTTATAGCAGCATTTGATAGGTAAGACACCGTTTATATACCATATCAGAATTAATAAATCCACAGAGACAGAAAGTAGCTTAGTGGTTGCCTAGTGCTTGGGAGAGGGGAAATGAGAAGTGATTGCTAATGTGTATGGGGTCTCCTTTTGAGGTGATGAAATTGTTCTGGAACCAGATAGAGTGATGGTTGCGTAATATGTGAATGTACTCAATGTCACTGAATTGTACACTTTAAAATGGTGAGTTTTGTGTCATGTGAATTTCCCCTGAATAAAAACAAACAAACAACTCTGGACTCAGAAGATGTAGAGGCTAAGTGCTCTTCTGATATTTCCCAGGTTTCCTCGGGTGACTCCTGTTGCTCTCGTTGATAACTGTGGTGGTTAATGTCAGGTGTCACCTTGGCTAGGCTGTGATCCGCAGTGGTTTGGCAGACACTGGACTGGGTGCTCTTCTGTAATATAATGTAATGTAATGTAGTGCAGTATAGTGTAGCATAATGTAATGTCATCTCTTTCCATAATGTAATGGAATATAATGTAATCACTTTCCATAATGTAATGTAGTGTAATCACTTTTCATGATATGATCTGATGTAAGCAGCCAGCCTATCAGTGGAAAGGGGGGTTTCCTTGGAGGTGTGGTCTTCCTCCAGTATATAAATGGATGTTCTGGCAACTCTCTCTCTCTCTCTTTCTTCCTCCCGCACTCTTCCAGTTACCTGACCTCCAGTTCCTGAGACATAAACCTGCAGAAGTCTCCAGCCTGCCACCTGACCTACAGACTTTGGATTCACCAGCTCCCGCAATCCTATGAACCAGGAGAGGTCTCCAGCCTGCCGCCACACCTACAAATTTGAGATTTGCCAGCCCCCACAATTGTGTGAACCATTTCCTCAGTATTGTACGAGCCATTTCCTCAAAGTGAATTTCTCTCTATATACACTTCATTGATTTTGCTCCTCTGGAGAATTCAGACTACAACAATAATAGATTTCAGAAAGTAGCTTCCCTCTCTAAACCCCTCTTTACAACGGCAAAGATAAGGATGGCATGACATGGGGTTCTGTCCTATACAAGCAGGGTGGTGTATAGTCCATCTTTACCTCACTGTGTTATTACCGTAGCAGCACAAATCCCCCACCCCAAGGTCATCTGCCACAAGCAGCACAATATTGGGTCTGGAGTTCCTCGTCACAACTGCCCCATCTGTGCTCCCAAACAAGCACCACAGCGATATTGTCAACCGGAATTCCTGAAAGTATTTGGGGCAAAACAAACAATCAAAAAAAAAAAAGACGCTTTCAATGAATGCTTACATTCTCGACAACTTAACACATGAAGAGATAATGATGTTAGTAGATGTCAGGTTCGTTCTGACTTATGACGACCCCACGTATGCAAAGTAGAACTGCTCTATAGGGTTTTCAAGGCCCTGACCTTTCAGAAGCAGATCACCAGGCATTACTTCCGAGGCACATCTGGGAGGGTGGATTTGAACTGCCAACCTTTCAGCTAGTAGTTAAGCCACCCAGAGACTCCATAAAGATAACGATATTCCTGATCAATTATCACTATACAATGTGTCTGAGTCGGCTTACTCAAAAACTGGAATTTTTTTTAAATAAAATTAGTTTTATATTAACATAGTATCATATTTTACAAACGAATTGTTGTGAGTTGAATACTCTTCCCCAAAAATTCGTGTCCACCTGGAATATGAGAATGTGACCTTGTTTGGAAATAGGTTCTCCGCAAATCTAATTCGTTAAGGATCTCAGATGAGGTCATCCTGGATACACGGTGGGCCTAAATCCAATGACCATCCTGGTAAGAGAGAGGAGAGGGAGATCTGACGTGCAGACACAGAGAAGACGGCCTTGTGACCACTAGGCTGAGACTGCAGTGATTCTGCCAGAAGCCCAGGAACAGGGAAGAGAGAATGAAAAATTCCATCCTACATTTTAGAGGATTTAAACCCAAACCAAAAACTAAACCCACTGCTGCCGAGTTGATTCCAACTCACAGTGACCCTGTAGGACAGGGTTGAACCGTCCCATAGGGTTCCCAAGGCTGTAATCTTTACGGAAGCAGACTGCCACATCTTTCTCCCGGGGAGCAGCTGGTGGGTTCCAACTGTCGACCTTTCGGTTAGCAGCCAAGTGCTTCAACTACAGTGCCAGCAGGACTCCTAATAGGATTTCAGGCTGGATATATTAGAATGAAAACCCTGGTGGCGAACTGATTAAGCATTTGGCTGCTAACCAAAAAAGGTCAACAGTTCAAATCCACCAGCTGCTCCGTGGAAACCCTACGGGGCAGTTCTACTTTGTCTTAGAGGTTCTCTATGAGTCCGACTCAATGGCAATATGCATGTGAAAGCTGGACAGTGAATAAGGAAGACCGAAGAAGAATTGACACCTTTGAATTATGGCATTGGCAAAGAATGTTGAATATATCATGGACTGCCAAAAAAAATCAACAAATGTGTCTTGGAAGAAGTACAACCAGAGTGCTCCTTAGAAGCAAAGATGGAGAGCCTTCATCTCACATACTTTGGACATGTTATCAGGACGGACCAGTCCCTGGAGAAGCACATCATGATTGGTAAAGTAGAGGGTCAGCGAAAAAGAGGAAGACGGTCAACGAGATGGATTGACACAGTGGCTGCAACAATGGGCTCAAGCGTAACAACGATTGTGAGGATGGCGCAGGACCGGGCTGTGTTTCGTTCTGTTGAACCCGGGGTCGCTGTGAGTTGGAACTGACTCAATGGCACCTAACAACAACTTTCGACTGGCTAAAGGAGGGGATATATTCAAAGTTTTACTGGCTAACAATTTTCCAGAATTGAAGACAGACACGAGTTTTCAAACTGAAATTGCACGGTGAGTCTCAGGCAGGAAAAAACATTCCCACTTGGTTCTAGTTCTTTAAAGTGCTGGTTTCCTAAAACGGGAAGAAAACCGGCAAGAAGCTTCTCGATATCCCAATAGATGCCTGAAAACCCATTGCCGTCGAGTTGATTCCGACTCATAGAAACCCTGTAGGACAGAGTAGAACTGCCCCATGAGGTTTCCAAGGAGCAGCTGGTGGATTTGAACTGCCGACCTTTCGGTTAGCAGCCAAGCTGTTTACCACTGTGCCACCAGGGCTCTGTAGATGCCTAAAGACTAGGGAATACTCTTTTCAGAGTGCTGAGGGAAAGGTCACCATCAGCTGAGAACTGCATACTCTGCGAACGTATCATTGAAGAATGAGAAGAGACTGCGGGCATTTTGGGGTATACATTAACCAGAAGACACTTGACAGAAGAACTACTGGAGAATTTTGTTTTTCAGCAAATTGCAAATTTATCCCACAAGGCAAGAGTGGACGTAAGAAAATAGGTTAAGAAAAAAAGAAGAAACGCATTGATAACGCTAAATATATATTGACAAAAATAATAATGTAATAATAATCTGGGGAGGGGTAAAATCGATGACCTCAGCAGTAATTGCCTGGAGGATGGGAGGGAGGGGTGTGGAGTTAAAACATGCTATTGTCTTTGATTTCTTCAGGAGGAGGATAGACAGGCTGATCAACCACCATGTTTTGATAAGTTAAAATCGTGTTTAAAATAATTAAGGGCAAATGCACTATTAAAAACGTGGAAAAATGGCTTAGAGCTTCCACGCCACTTGGAGAAGGAAAAGAAACCCATTGCCATTGAGTTGAGTCTGACTCACAGCGACCCTATAGGAGCGTGGGAAGGAAATTTTTAAAAAGCCTCAATAAAGCCCGTTAAAGACTGGAAGGGCAAAAAAAGAAAAAGGAAAAAAAGTAAGATGGGTAGAAATAAATTCAGTTCTGTCAATATTTGATAGGAGTCCCGGTGGCACAGTGGATAAACGCTGGCTGCTAACCAAAAGTCGGCAGTTAGAACCCACCAGCCGCCCCTAGGGAGAAAGATGTGACAGTCTGCTTCCGTAAAGATTACAGCTTTAGAAACCCTATGGGGCAGTTCCACTCTGTCCTTCCTATAGGATCGCTGTGAGTCAGAATTAACTCAACGGCAACAGCTATGTTAGTATTTACAGTAAGTGTAGGTGGACTTTGTTATTAAAAGAAACAGAATCTCAGATTAAAATTTTCAAATCCAGCTTATGCTTTTTCTAAAGAGCACACCTAAAATCTAATGGCAGAGTCTGAAAAAAAAAAAGAAAGATGTAGAACGCCACATGGCACCAATAATAACCAAAACAGAGCTGTTGCAGCAATGGTACCACCATCCAAAGGAAAATAGAAACGAAAATCATTGATATAGATAGATAGGGCTATGACTGAATGACTAACATCCCAATCCATAGAGACAATATGAAAATTATGGAATGGTATGAATTTATGCCAGAATGCTCCTTAAAAGCAAGGATGGCGAGGCTTCGTCTCACATACTTTGGACATGTTATCAGGAGGGATTAGTCCCTGGAGAAGGACATCATCCTCGGTAAAATAGAGGGTCAGCAAAAAAGAGGAAGACCCTCAACAAGATGGATTGACACAGTGGCTGCAACAATGGGCTCAAGCATGACAAAGATTGTGAGGATGGCGCAGGACTGGGCAGTGCTTCGTTCTGTCTTACATAGATAGGGTCACCATGAGTTGGAACCAACTCAATGGCACCCAACAACAACAACGACGACATGAATTTAATGATACTTCCAAAGCATATAAAACAAAAATTGAATAACATATAAGGAAAGATTGATAATCCAGTCATCGTGGAAGATTTTTTTTTTTTTTAACACTTATCTCTTGGGTAGCTCAAGGAGACCAAAAATTAGCTGGGATGGGGAAGACCTTGACAAGAACTCTTCCCTCAACCTACAAATAATTGTGAAGGTTCCTCGATTTGCCTGCTTACCAGTCAGGGCATGGATGTTCCATGGCTCCTTATAATTTTACCTGAGGAAGAGAAGAACAATAACTTCAGCTACAAAGCCAATGTTGTCCTCAGTGCTAGACAGTGAATGGTTCAAAGTGCTAACTAGCCTGTTGTGGGTGACCCCTGAACTTGTCTATACCCACCTGCAAAGTGAGGTTGGTGAAATTTGATCACGTCTAGTAGAGGGTCAGCGAACACGAGGGAAAACCTCAGTGGGATGGATTAACATCATAGCTGCAAAATGGGTTCAAACTTATCAACGATCATGAAGATGGTGCAGGACCAGGCAACGTTTCCTTCTGTTACACGTAAGGTTACCATGAGTCAGAACCACCTGGAAAGCAACAGTTGCACACAAGTGATGTTTGTCCAGAGAGACAAAGGCAAAGGAGCGTGCGCCATCTACCCAGCCAACGCAGGTCTCATGGTAGCTTTCCAACAAGAAGTCTTAGCTTGATTGATCCGGCAACATAAACTCCTCATTCCAGACTCACTAACATAAATAACTAATAAACCAACGGGCATGTATCCAACAAATGCTTACATCAGACCTATATTATACTTGGTATTCTGCTGTGAAGTGTGGCTTTTACAAAGGTAGAGCCAACAGCACCTTTGCTGCCTAAGAGGACAGTGCTTTCTTTCTACCTTAAAATGCACAGCCGTGACCAGCATAGACCTGCCGTAGTCACAGCAGGCTATGTTTGGCAGCTGTAAGTATGATATATATACACCACGAACTGCCAAGAGAACAAATCTGTCTTGGAAGAAGTACAGCCAGAATGCTCCTCAGAATCAAGGATGGCGAGACTTCGTCTCACATACTTTGGACATGTTATCAGGAGGGACCAGTCCCTGGAGAAGGATGTCATGCTTGGTAAAGTAGAGGGTCAGCGAAAAAGAGGAAGACCCTCAACGAGATGGA